CGCCAGCTGGTGAGCAGCCCAGCCGGCAGCCCCTCGGGAGCAGGGCGCCAGGGCGTCTCTGCCAGCGCTTGTCATGTCCCACGCAGTAAAATCGCCTTTTTGTCTGCGATCTCAAGGGGCTTCCCAGTTGCCTCTTAATGGAGCTGTTAATGACTTCAGACATTAATTCATTAAGTAACTACAGACTTACAAGACTCGAGGGGGAGTGATACGAGACCACTCACTGCTGGCCTTTTTGGGTGGGATGGGGAAGGGAAAAGGCAGTCAAAGTCTGCAGGAGGCACGGAGCAGAGGGGGGGTTCCTCCCTCCGTTCTCTCCCGAAATGTTCTGTCTCTGCCTGCCGAGTGCAGGGCTGCGCAGAGGCCGCTCCGGCCGTGGGATCTCCTCGGGGTTAGGAGAGGAGATGAGGACTGCAGCACTCCAGGGCGAGCTCCTCTCCATCCAGGGTCATTGCCTTTGTGCAGGGACCTCGGGCTCTCTGTCACTGCCACGAACGCCCCTGGGCTTCTCTGCCCTGCCGGTGCCCCTTGGCCAGCCTCCCTGCCCTGGCAGAGCCATGCAAGGGCCTTGGTCCTTGCTGGGGAGCCCGCCCTTAGTAACCTAATGCATTCCTTGTTTCTTGATGCAGCCTTTCGCAATGACCTGGGGACAAGTGGGAATATGTGGCCAACCATTTTGTTTAGCTAAAGTTTAACTCTCCCGTGCTTTTCTGTGTGCAGCGCCCTGTTTGCATGCAACGGCTTTGTCTCCTGCCCGGGGCCTCAGGCTCGCCGGGCTGTTTCCAGGTAGCAGCAGAGAGCAGAGCTCTGTTGTGTCCGGTTGCTGCGAGTAACTGAACTAAACACGTACAGCGCGCTTTCCGTATCCCTTGGCAGAGCATTTTGCACATGAAAGGGCTTTGTCTTGTTTCCCAGCCCGCAGGCCACTCCGCACTGCTGTAATTACCAGTTTGCTCTTTCCAAATCGCCTCTCGCGTTCTCTGCAGAGAGGGGATTTTTACCGACTTGCCCGTTCACTCTCTCTTTAGCCAGTTCCTCGTTGGGAGATGCGGTGAGACAGTCCCAGCAGAGCACTCCAAGGAAGACACGCTGTCCCACATGCCATGCACCCAGGGACACCTCCGCACCCAGCACCAGGGACAGAGCAGCACACGGTGGGTGACTGGAGCCAGCACGTGTTTTCTGGAGAGCCACAGCTGTGTGAATCAGTTCATCACTAACAAGGGCTGGGAGGGGGGGACAGGGCAGGACCTTAAGACCCTTCTTGTAAGCGCTGGCCTACTGCCTGGGGGAATAAATGATGCTCCCGGAGTCCCACAGCCTGTGCTGTGGGGCACTCGTGTTCCCCGTAACGGGTGCAGGCTGCGTCCACTGATCAGATTCACCCCTGGTTTGGCAGCCCGGCATAGCAGCCGAGGCTGCACGCGCGTCCTCCGGGTGACGTCTGGCTGCGTTTCTCTCCACAGCAGAGCGCAGCTCGGACAGCACGTCACCTCCAGGCTCCCGTGGTGGTCCCCGCGCCGAGAAGCTGGCGCGGCGTGGCTTTTGTTACGGGCCACCCAGCCCTGCGGCAGCCGCTGTCGGCTACCTTGCGCCAGTCCCCCTCGTGCCTTACGCGCCCTCCGTGCTGTAAGGATGCCCGGCGTTGCCCTGGGAGAGGGAGCGGGAGGTGCATAGGAGGTCAACGTCCCCGAGGGAACGAGGGGCAGCTCTGGGGACGGCTGGGCCATGGATGTCCTGCCTGATGGGGGGGGTCCCCAAGGATGGTGTTCAGCACGCTGTGGCTGTGCACTCCTGCAGGCTCCCTCTGACCACCCCAGACAGCCTGTCCCATCCTGTGACCACCCCAGAGCTGGCATTGGGTCCTGCTGGCTTGCCCACCTAACTCAGCTTCCCGAGCCCTCATGCGGGCAGTGCCCAGCAGGGCCACGTAGCCCATTTCTGCTTCAAGGTTTTCTCTGCGTAGAGGGGAGCAGAAGAGCTGAGCGTTAGGAGCAGGGGGGTGGTTGGAGATGGATGAGATGGGGGAGAGAAATTTGAAAAAGCAGCAAAATCTCAGCAGAGGAATGGAGAAGCAAGCAGCACAGTGGCGCTGTGCAGTCTGGGTTCTCCATGAAACCCTCTGGCCTGGGGGTAGCTTGGGGTCCCTGCACCACGTGCATGCACCCGAGCTGGGATCCCTTCTGGCTCACACCTGGGTGGATGCGTGTGGAGCCCTGGGTGTGTGCGGTCCATGAAGCGCAGGCATGCCAGTGTCTTCTTCTTTCCAGCTACTGCTCCCCGGTGGTATCTACCTCAGCACCAGGCCTGGCCGGCCTCCCCCTCCATCACGCCGCTGGGTACCAGCTGGCAGAGAGGACGCCACAGGTCACCCGCCAGCAAGCTCCCGGCCACCGCCACCCCCTCGCCCTGGACCTCGATGACTTGGATGACCTCAACTGGTCCCTGAGCCGCGCTGTGAAGGCTGCCAACAGCATGAAGTTCACCACAAAGCAGATGAGCCGGTCACTGACCTCCGAACTGAGCAAAGCCCGGGAGCTCCGGGGATCTTGCCTCTTCTGATGGGAGCTGGGGCCCCGCTGTAACGTAGCTGGGTGAAGCTGGGAAGCTGGTGGGAGGCCAGGAGAAGGCCTCAGGAGTGATGTGCCAAAGCGACTCATCTGTCCCTGCCTTCTCAGGAGGCAACAGGGAGATCCTGCCTGTTTGCGCCA